AAGAAAGAAAGAAAGAAAGAAAGAAAGAAAGAAAGAAAGAAAGAAAGAAAGAAAGAAAGAAAGAAAGAAAGAAAGAAAGAAAGAAAGAAAGAAGAAAGAAAAGAAAAGAGAAAAAAGACAGAGTCCTGGCTTTAAATAGTAGTGTATAGAGCCGACCTTAACAGTGTTGCGAATCCCAAGAAACTAGTATCCATTCTCCAATTAAAGACAAGCTCTGAGGGCAAGCGAAATTTTTAATCTCAAACATAAAATAAAAGTGTAGAGATAAACACTGAATCCAAAATGAGTAGCCAAGAAAGGCCTAAAGGGGGAGAGCAGGGAGGAAGGGAAGCAAAAAAAGCCAGGAGAGGAGCCATGCAGGACATGTACTGGGGCAGATATGGAAAGTAGCAACTATTTTCTTTTAAGGAAGCTTAAGTTTACAGTTGGTCAGAACTGGAAAGAAATGGCCAATGCTGTAGACCAATCCCTTTGTCCATAAAACAAACAGCAGTAGTTTGAGTAATTCAATAACAGCCCCTTACCAGTTCAGGGCGATCATTGCAGAACCTTTCTCAGGCTAAAAGTGTAATTGGCTACGGATCAATAAGTAATTTCTTTTAGAAGGACAAAGGTCTTGTTTTCTTTCTTTTTAATTTATATATATATTTGAAATAGCAAAGCCCTTAAATCAGAGCTGAGCAAATATATTCTGAAAGTTGAGATTACTCTAAACAGCAAGATTCCTTACTGCCCTTTGAAGTTTATCTCAACTGATCATTTATTTATGATGCTATAAAAATCCAAATGCTTTCAATTTTGATTGTTAGGTATTTGCTGAAAGGCATCTGAAATTACTTTCTGAGGGTTGCCATTTTATGACAAGCGCATTTTGAATGGAAATTTACAATGGTTCAATAATGGTTGTGCTGAGGTGTTATTTTTTGTTTATTTTTCCCCCTCAGTGTAGCAATGAATTCAGCTCTTGTGGTCAATGTGAAACTTAACCTGACTTCTTGGAAATTCTGGAAATCTAACATAAAAATCAGATTAAGAAAAAAACTAATATAATTTTTTGGAGGTAAGACCTTGTCAGTCTGTGATAATGCGGTATCATGACTGACAGTTTTCCTAATTAGCTTAGGACTGATGCCTTGGGCTAGTTTTTATCAAGAAAGAACATGTTGACCTCATCAAAGGTCTTCTGGGGATTCAGTATTCAGTAAAGGCAGACCACGGAGAGGTAAACACAAACAAAGCAGACCACATTTCCAGAATCAAGAGACTGAGAAGATCAACAATATTCAAGTATAAAACAAGCTGTAGAGAATGGACTCTGTCTGACACTTGAGGAAGAGGAAAGGGCCTAGGTGAAGTGCTCTTCCCTTAGAGCTTTGGTTTGCTGGGTTGTTGCTAATGCTGCTGGTTTTGGAGCCCTGGACTTGCACACGCGACACAAGCCCTGTACCACTGATGTACATGCCCTGACCTAGGGTTCTGAGAATGTCATCTCTTCTTGTTTTTTTTTTTTATTTTGCGATATGGAAAAATACTTGTATCCCTTAACAGTTAACATGTTTCTATTCTCCTTATGAGTAACACAGAGATCTGAGAAAATGAACAATTACAACTGTACTTGGTAATTCCTTAAGAGTAGGCTTAGAAAGAACAGTCTGAACTATAAAGTGTGTATGGAAACTAAGGAAAAAGCCTCTCTTTCGTAAGCTATTATTCACCTTTTACTATGTGCCAGCTGTATTTGTATGTGACGTTCAGCAGGGCTGAGACAGAAAAAGAATGTTTCTCAGAACTTTCCCGACAGTTATCAAAGCTAGTACAAAATGACCCAGAAACAATCATGTTTGCCATTTTCACATCCTCAACTTAAATTTTCACATCCTTAAAGTTTCCTTCCTTCATGCCTCCCACACCACACAACTTTAGACAATTTCTACTCTGGCAAGAAAAGAGGTAAGAATACTGAGTCCAGATTTTTGGATGCCACTAATACCACAGCCCCCTGCAACCAACCAGATGGCACAGTGCTACTGAGCACCAACTTACTTTATTAACTTGGAAAATCTGCCTAGAGCACAAAATTTACTCCAAAATGTCTTTGCAAGCACAAAATTGACATGATTTCAGGTTCAAAGATAAAAATAGCTGTCTTCCTATTGGGGAGTACATGAGAACAACAGTAGCACTGGGGTTTTTTAGCTCTATCCCATTTTCATATTGTATTTGAGAGGAAAATCTAAGAATTTACACACACATATGAATACAGTTAATGGTGAAAAGAAATTTCTAATCTTACTAAAAAGTACTTACTATGTGAAGCTCAAGGTAGTCGCCCAGGCCTGAGGAACTGTCCACTCGCACCAACACTGCCTCCTTCTGAACAGTACTAAACCCTATGGCCAGCCTGTCTGCTCGTGTACTGGGTCGGTCATTAGGAGGCCACTTATACGTGATCTGTCCACCACCTTTGCTAAAGATATACGTTGTCCCAGCTGTAAGACAAAATACAAATCCCATTAGTATCCATACACATGGCCATGCTTCCCGATATCATGTTGATTCAAAACAAAACGTTGATGCCACACACACAGCTATGGCAACGCAAACAATAGCTGTCAATGAAACTTGATCAAGAGAGACAACAGAGTTGTTTTAACAGAACTAGAGAAGCCATTCAGTTTTTCTTTTTAATATACTCATTAAATCCTTCAGCATGCGTTGCAGAACAAACGGTAGATTTCTGCTTTCTCTATTGAATTGGACAAGCATGGAATGTAATGTTCTTTCATTTTTTTCACCTGCCAGTTCTTAAGAAATAGTTCAGGAGGAAACATTGACTGGAGGCTTTAGGAGGCAGCAGAAATATAGATCAACTTGTTTTTGAAACACGGAATGCACGTAGATGCGACAGGGTCATACAGCACAGAACAAGCTGCAGTAAATAAACTACACATCAAAATTTTATGGGGAAAGGGTCTCCTCACATATGACACAAGATAACTAATGAATTAACACCCACAACCCACAGAAGTCATGTCAAAAAATACACATAACACATCCTAACCCTGGAAGTCAGGTCTGACTGAACATGTAGCATCTAGCATCTGTGGAACAACACGGTATCCTAGACAGTCTTCTGACCCCCATCAAGCCAGTAATGAGCACTTAGAAACATTTATAGTTAGAGAAGACTTAGACTAAAGTTCACTCTTCTGCTCACCAATACATACATGCTGGCTGCTTTTCTAAAATTATGTTTTATATCAAACTTTAAAACAAATCTTTTATGTTCTTAAATACCTTCTTCCACCCAGCTAGAAAAATCGTCTTCATAATCAAATACAGTAGAACATTGTGCTGAAATTTCAAAATATGCTTTATTAAGTATGTGCTTTTTCAATTTATAAAGATGACGTGTTTCATGCACTAGAAGAACTTAGAAATGACGAATATAAACTTTGGCCTTGGGTGGACCTAGTTTCAAATTCCAGCTCAATCATTTACTACCCACAGGACCCTGAGCTAAGGACTTGTTCTGTATTTAGGATTTCCTGTTTGAAAAGATAGATGAGATCAGCAACAATGTCTTATAGAACTTCCAAGGGTATATAACAGGATTGCATAGAAGAACCTGGGTAGCCCACATTCTAGTAGAGGGTAAGTGCTCAGGAGAATTGTGTGTGTGTGTGTGTGTGTGTGTGTGTGTGTGTGTGTGTGTGTGT